AATAATAGAAGGTTGTAAATTCTTATGAATATTCATGGAGTTAAATAAGATAATAGACCACGTGCCATGAAATAACGTGGCTTCCTGCTATGACTTCCAGTGTGGCTTAACATGTTTCAAAAAGCTTCCAGTGTCAATAATAGTTTTTTAATATTTAACTTTCACACTTTTTTAAAACACAATTTTTTAAAAATGGATCTTTCTAAACTCATTTGAGGTGATATTATTGCTTTATTATTTGATGCCTCAGAAGCACTGCAATGATGAAAAGGAGATTTTTCACATAATCTTTTATTGTGTGGTTTTTTTTTAAGCTGCTAAAGGGTCATAGTTTCTTTCTTTTACAATAGATGCAAAATAGCTGCTGCAGAGTGGAAGTAAAATACTTTATCTTCAATATTTGATGTTCTAACAGAATACAAAAATGGTATTAAGTATAACTTTTTCTTAAAGAGCTTTTTATTTCACAGATAATTCTTGGAACTGCTGCAGGCTTACATTTTTATGAATAACCTGGTAAAACAATTAATCTGTAACTTCAGATATTTTAATAAGTTTAATTACAGATATTTAATCTTTCCCTGGATATTCTGTTGCCCGTAGGACAAAAAATAATTGTGTCCTTGTAGTGGCAGTCTGAGTCAGGGCCACATCCAAATTTAAAAAAACCCTAATTTTGGTTCCCACAAATAAATTTCATCACAAATACGAGGTGTTTTAGCTCCTGTTATAGAAAACACAGATCCAATGCACTCCAGAGCTAAGAGAGTGACTGCTCACCTTCAGGTGAACCTTTGGCCTATATCTGTACTAGGAAGTTATTAAATTGCACGAAATATTCTTGGACACTGTAACTCATTTTTTCTTTTAGCAGTTCCTGATACACTTAGGCCAGGGCTCACTAACTAGTAATAAAAAAAAAAATCTGGCACTAGTTCAGCAGTTAAGATGGGCCAGAGCCCATTCTCAAGAAGCAGGTTGCATGATACCACCCTGCTTTGCAAACCTCCTTTCTCTAATGACTTTCATAAGTCCTTAGTGTGAGCTAATAAGCCAAGTGCTGAATTCAACAGTCACTTAGTGTAAAAAAAAAATCTGTATTTTCTATCAATAGTCTGTCCATTTCCTGTAATACCATTATATTTCCTCATGTGAAAGTTTGCTTAGACTGGGTATTAGAAAGAATTTATTTACCAAAAGAGTGATTAGACAGTGGAACAGGCTGCCCAGGGAGGTGGTGGAGTCACCATCCCTGGAAGTATTTAAGAGAACCATAGTGCTTAGCAGCATGATTTAAGCACTGATCAGGTAGATTAGGTTATGGTAGGGGGATTTAGGTTATAGTTGGACTAGATGATCTTCTGGGATGACTCTGTCCAGGGTTAGGGCTCTAGCATTAAGGGTCAAGGTTTAAGCGTCTAGGCGTGTCTAGGTTAAGTGGTCCAGGGTTAAGGGTCTAGGTCTACTGTTATAGGTCTATGATTAAACCTCAAGGGTAAATGATCTAGCTGATGTGGTGGTGTTTAGGTCATAGGCTGGACTTGATGATCTCAAAGGTCTTTTCCAGCCTTGGCAATTCTGTGATTAAAATATCCTCAGAAAAGCAATACACAAACTAATTTGGCTCAATTCTGCCAGACCTTCTTCCTCATTTAGCAAAACAGAAATAAAGGAGACTAATAATTTCTTTCTTAGATTAAGGTTTGGCAAAGCATTCACATAGGATGAAGCTACTTTTATACTTCACATGTTTTTGAAGTGTGCCTTACTGATCTGGCTGGAGCATGTTACCCGCAGGTATGACACCGAGCTCATGTGCATAAAAGCCCTTTCCAAGCCTACACTAGTCTGTGCTGGGCCAGATCCCATATCTCAACATTAAGTAAAGTAACCTAGAAGTTGCTTAAACTTACATGAGGAGCATAAGAAAGATAAAGCTAAGAACTGACACCGGTAGGCATTTTGGCTTGGTTTATTTTGCAGCCTGATCTTTTTTGTCAGCCCTGCAGGAGAATGATAGTCTGGCAAGAGCCATGAGAGCAGCTCTAGCTTAGTCTCAGAGCTGCCAAAGGGAGGAGGTGGCAGCTGTCCTGAGATACAGAGCACGGGCTGAGCCAAGAGGTAACACTAATGAGCCCAGGGCTCAGAAACGAGGGCAGAGCAGCACTGGTAGTTGTTGGGAAAGAGCACAAGAAGTCACAGAGGATTACAATTTTTTTCAAACTAGGCTTAGCTTTAAAAAAGCTTGGGAACAACTGCTCTGGTTTAAGACAGCATGGAAAAAAGGTAAAGTGATCATCCCAGGTGTCCTCCTTGCTCTCCAGCAGTTTTAGGCTCAGATGGAAGCAGAGTCTCCATCTTTTAAAACGGAATCATAGTGAAAGTCTTCCTGGCTTCTCCAGAGTGCCACAACTTCCATAACTCTTCTTTAGGGCATTATATCTTATTTTAGTATACAAAAATATATGGCAGATTATTTAATAATTTAATGTATTCATTTACATTTCTTAATCATACACCACCAGCCTCATTGTCCATCACACGAGCTTTGATAACTGGCCTAAAACTTAACTATCTTATACTTCCTTTCTTCGTGAACCAAGTACTTATCACTATGTGGACAAAAAAAAAAAAGATAAAAAGCAAAATTTTAACCTCCTTATTCTTAATTGTGCCAGGGCTGGCTGACCAGTCAGGGAATGAAACAGAACTGGTGAGATGCCCATGCCACATGCTCACCATGGTATGCTGCGGTATATATTGCTCTGTGGCCAAAGACGGCAAGCACAGTCTGGAAGCTAAAAAAGACTCCTTGGTTTTGAAGAACATTTCTTTAGTATGATTTTTAGTTTAAATTGTGACCAAAATGGAGGGCACATATGAGTAGGAGTTGGCAGCATGTCCTCAGCTTACTATATGATTAATATGCTATGCTGAAGAAACCCAGAAAATAGAGTGGAAATAGAGGGCTCCATCAGCCTTGAAAGCTTGCAGTCTTGATAATATACTAATTTTTTTTAGCTGCTTACTTCCTATTGCTCACAAATCAACCTAATTATCTACCAAGGCATTTTTCAAATGTTAACTCATTTTTAAAATTTGGAGTCATCTGGCAACAAATCTCTCTTAGCTATAGCAGGACACCCTTAATTTATTTTGGATAGCGAAAGAATACATTTAAACACAAGACAATCTAATTTCAGACAAAAATCAATTATATTTTTATCATGTTAGTGTTCAGGGTGTATAGCAATTTAAAGTCTTTGAAATGTTTTCTTACACTTACTTAAATAAAATCTTATCAATTTGCATTAAAATTACACATTGTGTTTTTCATTTTGTTGAACTATTGAAAAGTCTGGAATGGAGTTTTCTGAATGATGCAGAGATTGCCCATAGTTTCCATAAAGATGCAAATCTGGCAGTAAAATCCTTGCTAATTTTTGACTGCATTTTCCTAGACTCATATTTTAGCTCTGTATATGGATGGCAATGACATGTCAGGCAAACAACCTAGACTAATACTTCAAGTGTTAAAATTTAAACAGGAAGCTAAAAGCAATTACGAGAAGTGTATAATTCATAAAACTGGCTTCACAATTAGTAGAGTTGGTGGAATACTACTCATTTAAACTGTAAGGAATGTATTCCACTATTAACACGGTATTTTGAAACTGTGTGCTTTATTGCTGAGCAAATTTTATCCCTTTCTAATGGCCAAATTCTACTTCTCATATCCACATTCAATACAACCTACTGCCTTATTAGCTCCCCTAGTATTTCTAAACCAGTGCTAAAACAAATTCTTAAAACTAGAATTATTGAGAATTGTTCTTTCTTATATGACAGTTTAGAAAACTCCTTTATCTTGCTTTTCTAGAAATCAATTTTATTTTGTACTAGACCAGCTTTAAAAACACAAACCCACAAAAATATTTGTGAGGGCTGCTCCAGTTGGTTAAGCTGTCCTCAGAACCAAAGAGTATATAATGGAACTTTTTTTGCCACTTTATTTGCATGCACTTTGAAGAGATGGATGTCTAAGCTGTATGTCTACCAGTGATCCTGCAGTACCAATATAATTCCTGTGAGATGCAGAGCATTTTGCACTTTAACACTGCCTCCAACTGCTCAAGGTAGGAAAACCAAGTATGCAAATATCTTTCAAGGCAAAAAGTAACCTGGTTTCCTGAGGCAGTGAAAAAAGGCCCTTGAGGCAGATGAATATTATAGTTTTAAAATGAAGTAGCTCTTTGGTTTTCAGTACTCTTTTGCATTTTGGTTTGGCAGTAGGGTAAGTTCTTGGGAGACTATCTGACCCCTTCAGGTGTCTGTGCTAGCTATGCAAAATATGCTCATGTGGGCACAACAAAAATGAGAGGTTGAATGAGAATCACATAAAGGATTGCAAAAAAAAGAATTGGTTTATTGTTGTAATTTTTTTTTATGGTAGCTGAGCACTGGAATAAGCCTTTGAAAATGGTGCTTCTTAGCAAAATGCTTGATTATCACTTTTAATAATACAAATCAAAAAATAACATTTAAAATAGCAGTGAAAATTCCACTCACTAAGAAAGAGATGAAGCATTTAGTATAATGCTTTAAACTGATGTAGAATCCTCTGATCCATTACATATTACAACAGATACCAACAAAGGACACCATGTACACTGTATTTTATCTTTGAAAACTAATGGCAATGAAACTGCCCAGACCTGAATTAGTTCTGAAATACCGCATATGAATAAAGACTATTCATGGAATTGTCGAGAGACCAAATAATGTCAAGCTGATCTAATATCCTTCCACAACATGATTACAAGCCTCGCAGGTGGGAGAGAAGCAGTATATGGTGTGTATCTTAAAGCTTTGTACAAATCTCATGTAACTTTAGGGACAGAAATGTGATTTTGATGAAACCTCTACACAGTGGGCATAAACTGACTGGAAAACCAAAACTATAGCCAGAACAATCACCAGTGCTTCAGCATTATTTTAATATGTATCAGCTGGCATCGGCCCGATACAGATCTCTGTGTTCTTTAAGCAATGACCCAAGTGATGAGAACACAAACCAAGGAGGGACAAAGCTCCTGGCCAACTATTTTATAGGCCAAGATGAAAACTGTAAAGGCATCGAGAAGCTGAAGGAATTCCGTAGCGAAAAACCGAACAAGATTCGGTGGGGACACGGACAAGACAACAGAACAATCTCAAACAAAGCCGTAATTGTTGTTTTGTGGTTTTTTTTTTCCGCCGGGTGTTCTCCCCTCGGGCCCAGTTTTCACACAGACAGCAGCGAGGAGCTGCAGCTTCGCAGTGACACCGCTCGGGACTGTACCGGGAAGGCGCTGGGCTGTTCCAGCAAGGCCCGCGGGCACGGCAGCTCTCAGCGCTAAATCCTCCTTCTTCAGCCACTTCTCTGCTCGCCCCGGCCCTGCTGGGTCCGCCCAGCCCCGCACCTCGGGCTCCAAGCCTCCCGCGGGGCGAGGCCCGGCCCGGCCCGGCCCGGCGCAGGG